TTTGTTTACTGGCATTTATAGTATAAGAAATCGTGTATTTCGTATCGTATGTTTTGATTTACTTGTTAATAGTATTACTGTAAAGTAAGTTACTATAACATGACATAATAATATACTCTTTTATTTTATGTTTAGTAGGTTATTATTGAATATTATCTCAGTACTTATAGTTGTAACAAAGTATATAATCATGGAAGAAAATCAATTCTGAATTTATTAAGTCAAGCAAAGATATATTTTATCTAAAATATGCTAAAACGACCGATTACTGTTGCTAGTTGTGCTTAACTTATGTTCGTTTAATGCATAATAAAAATTTCTTTACGTTTATCCAAATATAAATTGTCTTATCTTTATTAAGATAATTTTTAATACTGATAATTTTACAGTCTATTAAAGTAGAACAGACTCAAATTAAACAGCAGCCAATCGTGTCATGGATAGAACTTTAAAGAGCTGCTTTTATTAGTATAGTAAGTCTGAAAGAAATCTGTTACTGGATACAATTACTCCAAAACCAATGTGCTCCTGGACATAGATCCACGTCCAAATTTGCGCGAGTTAACGTCGATCTTAACATTCTTACACCTTCACAATCTAATCCCCAATTTGCCAAATTTCCGATTTTTCTCAGTCTTTTGCAGTTTTTAAACATATTCAGCACAGTAGTTGCGGATACTTTACTGGCCTCATATATATAGAAACATGTTAGATTTTGTATTAGACTATTTTCACACTTATCAGACTTCCTTGGATTTTTTTGTTTGGTTGATGCACTTAATAACTTTTCTAAGTGTTCGTTTGTGAGATCAAAACAACTATGAACATGTAATGCTGTTAACTCTGGTGCTAGTGAAAGAATTTTCGTGATAGCAATAGCACTCACTATGCGACCCAATTGAATTTTTCTTAAGTATTTCAATGGAGCAGGATCAGTTCCTTCTGTCCAAGTTACATTGGACCCATCATTGGTAAATGTTCTAAGATTTGGGCAACTACCGAAAATTTCTTTCAAATCCATTTGAATAGGATTTTCGTTTTGTGTGATTATGAGCCTAAGTTCGCGTAGGTTGTGACCATTTGTGCGAAGATAATCATAGAAACCATCCAACCATTCTCTTTGAGATGGTATGCTATGGACACTGAGGGAAGTAACATAGGGGAATAGTCTTAAAGCTTCAGGAGGATGTTGAGGCTCTGAAATGTGTAATTTCTCCACTTTTGGGCATGCTTGTGCCAACAGCTCTAAACGAACTGGTGTTGTTCTGCAACTTCTTGCTTGAGTTAGACTAAATGGAGTTTTAAATCCAATCAGTCCCTTGTTCATAATTTCCATTACTCTTCCCATATGATTATATTCTGCCAAAGATTCCAACCTTGGAACATGTACCAAAGCCAAAAGTACTCCAGCACTGGTCACACCAGTATTAGCAACATTAAGTACTCTGAGTGTATCACAGAGAAAGTTCCTGCTTTCATAATATTCTAGCAGTACCCCTTGTTTCTCCTTCTTTTCTGATTTAGAATTTTTTATTTTTAACTTTGAAAGCAATGTTTTTAAGCGGGACCAACTAGTGGGTTCTTGCATTGTAGCATGAGGCACTTTGTCCCTAAGTTCTACTTGCAACAGTAACTGCTTCAATCCAACATCTGTTACTTGTCTCGAACAAGCCACATCCAAGTGCACAAGTTTTGGACAAGCTTTTCCTACCACTTGAAGCACTGCATCACTGGCAATGTTACGCAAAGTTAAGCTCATGAGATTCTTCATATTTAAAAGTGCAGACCTTAATAATTTGCAGTCCAATCTTAGTAAAGCAGACCGGGCTAACTCTAAAGATTCAAGTCCAATTCCTTCTGATGCAAGCAATTTCAATAATGATGTTTGATGGCTACATCCATAGTAGCAACAGAGATTCACTTTTAATTGCTTAATGTCATGGCCAAGAAGAAGGGCCAATAAGTATAAAGGAGCTGGTCCAGAAATTAATGTTGATCCATCAGATGCAGGTCCATATAACATTTTTGAAGTTTCTTCAATAACTTGAGACCTCAAACGTGCTGGCAAGGCATTTATGTAATAAGGTCTGATGGTCTGCTTTGCATGTGCCAATACTTGTGCAACGGATGATTCTTGTGAGAGCACTTGCAGCCTGCGGCACGTCCCGTCGAGTTGTTGACACACACGTCCCAAACTAAGCCCCTCTAGGGATTTAGGCTGACGGTGGCCAGGCATCTTCTCTTGTTCATTCACTGCAATATTTAATGTATCAATCAGTATGTAATAATAACATGACAATCACACTAATATTTACACTGTGTACTAACAAGAAGTTGCTAATAAAATTTTCACCCCTGGTTGTAGAGTTTGCTAACAGAGAATGGTTAAATACAGGTTGAATATATGTATATGCTGAATTAATGTAAATTTGATTACAGCTAATTTTTCCTTATATCTTATGAGATAATGTAATCACAAAAATTAAGAATTAGAATAGCTCTGGTTATCAAAAAAAAGAAGCAACAACTGTGCACATTACAAGAAGTTATCTGTATTAGATACCGCGTGTGTATAAAATGATGCGTACGTGATCAGTAATCGAAGAAACATTAATGTTATAACTTTGAGGTTAACTACGTTTGAAACGCGACTGTTTTTATGAGAGCTCCTTTTTCTACATCCGACCATGAATATCGCGAACACATTATCGAGGCAGTGTTAATCGGAAGAAACATGCTTCGTAAACAACTTTCCTGTATTGTAGTTATCAGTAGTGAAAAACTCTTGCTACTAATCCCGCATACTGTTGTGACAGTACGCGCCGACGCTTTTTTCCCAGACCGTATTATTATTGCCTACCGAAATTTTGAATTTGAAGAAGGTTCATTATTAAATATTTCAATTTTCTATAAATCTAAACACTGCCATGAATACAAAGAATACTTTCACGTTTTCTTCAAATTTTTATGGAAAAAAAAACAAACGAACACAACGTTAAATAAAAATAAGTGATCGCGACAAAACGGATGCTTTGACATTTCAAATATCAAGATGTAAATTTGATGCCCTTTTCATATTTTTAACATTCTAACAAGATCCTCGAAGATTTTTAGTCGATTACTCATGATTTTTATTTTATTCAGAAAAACAGGTTGCATGTCATTCGATATTAGTGGGTAGCCTCGTCAAATTCGACACAGAGAGCGTTTGTATGCACGGTACACGTGCTCGGCTCTCCTTCGTGATTCTATGTGTCACGATAGATCAATCAGAGAAACTAGGAAACGTGCTTAAAACGTGCTCGTTCTAACGACATACTGCGAACTGCATTTTACTACACGCGTATTGGGCACTCCTGATGTATCGCGAACAAATTGATGAACACAGCTATTACTTTCGAAGCTTCTCCATACATCATCGACTTTTTCCGTTTCGAGAAAAGAAGGAATGTTAATCCATTACTTAACTACGTTCTACGTAATCTCTCGATTGCGTAAAAAGAACTATAATTGACTAAATTGTTCCTGTATCCATAATCTAACAACTATCCTCCGTGAATCGATCAAATTGTACTAGATCTTAACAAGCAACATTTTTCTTGCATTACACGAAGACAGAGTATGATTTCGATTTAAATTCGAATTACATCTTTGTCTCATAGAGCTAGAAAACTAACTGGATCGACGATTAAATGGTTTCTGTAGCGATGACACGTCGTCTAGGGAATGCAATAATTTTCCCTTTTTTTCTCGACCGCCGATAATACGCATTTATCTTCCATCGATTTCTATTCCCCGCGCGAATGACGCGTCACGTATCGAGGATCTGTTGCGAGAGTGACAGAAAGGTGGCATCGATGCACGCTATAGTTGCGACAACGTCGCTAAAGAACGTTTCGCGCGCGACCTCCCGTTAATTAACTAACGCCTCGTACCGTAATGCAATTTTACGACAGTCATCTGTGTGTACAAATGTACAAGAGCAGCAGTAACGTAACGCGAAATGTTATATACGCGATATTAAATGAAAAAAGAACCCAGATCAGCATCTCATGGAGAGTAAACACTTAATTGAATCGAACTTAAACTTGACAAAGACCCAACTCCAGCCTAACCTAGACCTGACCACGCAGAAAGAAAACAGGAAGACACGGTTAGATATAGAAATAAGTGTACTCGCGAATCGAATCATATGCAAATCGCGTTTGGTAATGATTAGATAATAGCCAAGGCTGAATTATTGAAATTCAATCGTTCCCACCGGTTCGTGCTCTATTATTGCGCCGTGACAGGTCGATAAAAATACAATTTTCAGCGTTTTCAATCGATTCGAAAGATGAATCGATCTTCGATTTTCGAGCTTAGAAATCGACGCTGCGCACGTGACGCAGTGGACGTCGAAATCTGAACAATATATATACATATGTACAAACGCGATGAACCGCGGAGTCATTCACACGTTCGGTTACATAAAGGCAAATACACCGAATCCGACACACCGCTGCGACACTTTCACTGGACCATTTTTTTCGTTCATTCTACTTGCGAGCAATCGACGCTACTTTCTAGTAACGGTATTAAAACGCTTGACACTCTGTCTCTCGTTCGCGTTTCTACGGCACACGAAATAATTAAGGGATCAGAGTTGATCGAGAGCGGAATATTCGTAAAAAAAGGTTCTACATCACACAGAATTATCGATAATTCCAGTTTTCTGTAATTAATCCGAGCGTTATGTGTGTTATTCCTCTTGAGTATAGACAATGAGTAGGTATATCCTGCCCACGTGTCGATGCGTCAACGAGAATTGAACGATTCAAAACAAAACTTGCAACTCTTTCATCCAGTGGAGCTTCCAGGAAGCTTTTGTTTGAAGAAGAATAGAATTTGCTTATAGGAGAGAGGTACGTTGACCACTTATTTCGAGTCGCTCTTTTTCGATCAATTCACACAGGTTGATCTAAATTAATTCTAAATTGAACGCGCGTGCACGTCAGTGTTCCTGACTTAGCGTGCCCTTTTGCCCACATACACTCCACTCTATGTCAAAATTATCCTATACATCTCGAGAGAATAGACCAAAGTCGAAAGAAAAAAAACTCGAGCCGGGATAGCAGCGGAAGAAACACGAGCGAAAAAAGCGTAACGTCTTCCTCGCAACGGTATTAGACAAGGTTAGTGTTCCACAGCTCTTCGAAACACAAAATTCATCTATCTTTGATAATATCGTTCCTAAAAAAAAAGCAAACTCTAATCCTGGTTCCCACGATCGTCTCAGAAATCGTGCAAATCCCATTTTCCAATGAGAATCCCTTTTAAGGTTAGGGGAAAGCGATAGACAGGTAGAAAGAAGCTGTTCCCTCTTGGGCACAGGGAGAGGAAGAGAAGATCGTTTGGTATAGCGAGACGCGTGAGGTGCCTACCTTGAAACAAGCAAGTCCCCTACGGGTGTCTCCTGAGCGGCGGCTCGTGCTAGACTGCCGCCGCGACGAAATTGCATGCGTCTCGACTCGGCTCAACTCGGCTCGCGACCTCGTCGTCCAGCTTTCAGCTTGCCCACCACACGGCGCCACGCTTCTCCGTCCATTCCGGGGTTCTCGGTGTCCCTCGTGCTTCGCGAGACTTTAACTAAAATATGCCGCTTTTATTTATTTACGCGATTACAGGATATCACGTGGCTACGTTATCGCGAAAAACGTTGATTTCCCGTGGAAAAGTGCGTCATTTCAACAACGTGATTCCTCTTTTCCTCGAAACTTTCCTGGCGACGATAATAATCGTCCATGAATTCACAAGTGGTAATTCATAACCGGCGCGGCGATTGGAAAGCGCGTTAATCGCCAGTCATTCGCCTCTGCGGCACGGGTCATCGCGCGAACAACTTTACGGGAACAGAACTTTGCACACACGAGGATGATCGATCCCGTGGTTGTCTCAATCTAGATCGATCGCCTGTCAATTGAAGTACCCGTGGTTTGGAACGTGCCTTGCTGTCTTACGAGGGACAGAGACAGAGGGATATTTTGTTACTTTGTCGAGTACAGAAGCTGTCTTGAATATGCATGAGGGTATAAATTATGCCGATGGCTGTCGGATGTATAAAGAGTTGTTTACCGTAGGATAGGACAGCTTGTCATGGTGTTTCAACGGTGTTACCTTTTTTCTGCTATTTTTTATAGGATTTCATTTGATTTATAGAGAATCGTTGAAAAGGTAATATTCTAGATTGAAATTATTCGTAACCGTGTTAAGAACCTAACCTAGTTCGAGTTCGTTAAAACTAAAGTGTATTCGTTCGAAATGGTTGAAATTGTGACGGTTTCTCGCTGAATCTGAGGACACTCGTCGACTGAGAATTATTCTGGTCCGTAAAGGCTCAGGTGCCATTGAAATATTTTTGGCGTATCGAAGTTGTAGGGCGTCTCGATATATCAGGGCTCGAAAGCTCGAAAATTATTCAACTATTTCTGGATTTGGTGCGCGAGGTCTCTCCGCTCTATTTTCGTCTGTGTATTAATCTAAAGGGACGAGAAATGTTTCTCGACATTTTTCAATCCACCATATTCCTCCTATAACCTCAAAATTTTCAACTACACAATTCCCTAAAGGATGAAGGGTTCGATTGGGAAGATCCTAATTACTTTTCAACGGTGAGGAGAAAGAAAGGAAGAGACAATTCCAAAGCGGCTCGTCCCTGTCTTCTCGAGTTGGCGAACCAGCAGCTCGTTATCCTTGATCGGTAACGCAATATGTGGCTCACGTAAAAGCGACGAGCAAAAGCGCGACCGACTGTTGCCTTCTTCCCGCGCACGTCCGTCTTTGCGTCTTCGGTTTCAATAGCTTCCTTTAATCGGCTTAATAGGAAAGCCTTCGATCCTCACCTTCGTTGCTGTCGCCTCTAGTCATTGATTAATCGTTCTATGTAAACTCGCCGACCAATATCAATTGTCCATTATACGTACAGTTACTCCGGTAAAAATTCAGACGCTAACCTAACCTAACCAAAAATATTACGAATATGAATATTCAAAATATTCATTTTTCCTAAGTGTTCGAATATTTATGTAAAATTAGACATAATTTCCGATTAATTTGTGTTACAATGCGTTAAATTAAAAGTACGTAATCCTAGAATAAAATAAACGATGTTTCATACCGAAAAAATACATCGGTAGAAAGGCAAGCTTACGTATAGTGTTCGAATATTTTTGGGAGTAACTGTATGTGATACGGAAAGCGTTGTGTTACGGAAACTGTACTTCCCGTTTCTCCTTCGTATCGCAATTTCAACATATTCGTATGTTTTTATCTTAAACTTTAGTTTAGAGAAAAAAGCAAAGTGTAACATTGTTCTATCTGGAGGTAAAATTGACGAATTACTAGTTTTTTAAAAACTCGTTACAAATAATCCAAGAAGATTCACCGGTGTAAAATCCAGAGTCTATCGATCGATAAGAGGTGAAAGCAAAGCCATGCACCTTAAGCGTGGAGGAGAAAAAGAGCAGGATGAAAGACGACGCTTGGCCGCGATGAGCGCCTCTTCGTTCTAATTAACGTCTCCTTAAACGCCTGACGCGGCACTTTAACGCCGCTGGCTGGCTTAGCGCGTTTCCGCCTGGAACACTGAATTTTTCCCCGGGACCAATTACGTTTCGCCTCGTTCGTCCAGAGCGGATGCATTTTTCACTCGAGCATGGTTACGACACTTGTCGACGATCTCCCGGGAGATCCCGCGATCCGTTCATCGCTCGAGATTCTCTCCGGGTGACAAAAAAACGCGACCAAGTCGGCAAAGAAGAGAAGTATTTCCCCTTTTGCAAATTCTTTTTTATCTTCACCATTTACCTTTTACAATTATATTTCCATATACTGTTTCTTTTTAATTAACCAAGATTCTTAATGAATTTCTTAAAAACACATAGTCGTGCACATGAAGCAGTCTCGATCGAAATTTCGGAACTTGGAAAGATTAACCTTTTAAAAAAAAGGAGGTATTGTGAATCATAGGAAATTAATTTCTATTCGCCTAGATCAGGGGTCGGCAAACTGCGGCCCGCCATCAGTTTTTTTTATGGCCCGCGAGTTATGTACTGTTAAATGAAACATTATCCAAAAAGAAAGAATTCCATATTTCTCATTAATAAATGTGTATTACAAATAAAGGATTTGTGAAAAAATTTTAATTTGTAGTTAACTACCTACCTACATACATACGTAATAATCTCAATTTTCTCTCTTGGCCCGCAAAGCCAAAAAATATTTAGTATCTGGCCCGCCAGAAAAAAAGTTTGCCGACCCCTGGCCTAGATAATACTGAAAAAAAGACAAAATCGTCCTTACCATCGTCAAATTGAGAAAATTACGAGCGTAAGGGGGTTAATTCGAAGAATTAATAGAAAAAACCCGGAGAGCTGATGGACATGTTAGCCAACGATTCTAAAATTGTCCACTGAAACCCTCGCCTAAAAACAAGCTCACCTCGAGGTCGAGATGCGAACGAAGAAGAAGAAGAAGAGAAGAACAGGGTAAGCAGTACCTAACTGTCATCACGGAGAGACATGTAATTTCCAGCCGGGTGTATTTCATCCTCGGCTGGGGATATGTTCTCTCGATTATGGCGGACAACAGGTGAGGACACGGGCGGGAGATCTGGTGGGATAAGGTTTGAGGGTCACGCGCCGGCAACATGAAGGTCCGTGACTGAAAAGCCAACCGGTCCTGAGAAACCGTCCACCACTTCTCAACAGTGGAATGACTCTGCTCGAAACGGCCCGTACAATGTCTGATATAACTATACACCTCGTGTGTCCATGGTCGCTCCTCCATTTCTTCCTCCAATTTCCGCGTTGTTTCCCTCGCGGTTCCTTCCGATCGATCCTCGACACCAATCGAAGCGTTATTGAGAGTGTCTAGAGACACCCGGGAACCTTCGATACGAAACGGGAAGATGGTCCTTGAGTGGTAACCATTCGCGTATATCTACCAACCTCCTTCTGTTTCGTTTCCATCGTTGGGCATACTGCTTCTCTATACTCATAAGCATTTATTGCGAACCGTGTAACGATGTACTATATACACACATAAAATATATATACGTAGAAACGTACAAGGGCGAGGCACAGTGCAAATGCTTGTGTAAGATAAAGAGAAGAACGTACGACGAGTATATATATGGTTCGTGATTACAGTCTTGCAGATCGTGTAACGAAGTTCAAGAACAATAGTGTTTAGAGATAAACATGATCGTCATGAGAGTGAAGAAGTGACATTCTCGACTAATTCGATTTATCTATTCCAGCCCACGTTGTAGAGAAGGATTCTTCAGAAGTCCCAGGTGTTAAAAAGGGTTCAACGGCACCGAGCGTTTACCATCAAGTTCCAATCGGTGTATTTCGGGTGTGGTGTTTTTTTCCAAGCAAGTTAAAAGCAGAAGAGAGAGAGAGAGAGAGAGAAGGGGAACATGAAACACGAACAGAGAGAGAGGATTCACGAAGAGACGCCTCGCATGCAGAATGTCTGATCGTTTAACGATCCTGTTTCCTCGAGCGAAGCGTGACGCAAAAGCAAATCCATTAAGGGGACGTAGAGGCTGCTGCATCGATAAATGAAAAGTCAATGAGCCTCTTGGTCGCTATAGCGTGACCATGGTCACGTAGTCTATGGGGAATTTACCACGCAACCGATCCTTCCACCTTTTCCTAACCTTAACCGTTGTCCTCGGCGTAACTATTGTTCCCCCCACGTTCAAACAGTACAAATTTTATCTTATCTACGCTTCAACACCGAAGTGAAAGCAATTACCGCCTTATCTTTCGACATATGTACGAATTATTTATTCTTCCCGTTTTTTCGTTTCTGGTGATCGATCGAAAAACCGGCTGGAGGACGTGATTTTCATAGAACTTTATATCAGAACTCGTGTGTGTAACACTTGTTGTTAGAAGTAACGAAGAGTATACGTATGCGGTATCGAATTACGATGAGGTCGATCTTCATTAGAGTCAATTGATATGATCTACATTCGCGCTAGATCACGTGGATCGTCGTTGCGATCCCTATCGAGCTTAGGTCATTATACGTGAACGATATGTCGTCGATTTTTATGGAGGATGATACTCGTGATACTGTTTTACACAGTCGCGTGTGAAACGAACGTTAATTGATCGGTGTATTTCTTTTGTTTTTTGGGACACCCTGTGTACGTGGGGATTTTTAAAAAGGAACTCAACCCATTAACCGCCATTGCCAAGTCCGAATGGTAATGCAGAAAGGCTAACGCTCAGATTCGATTCATTTGCATAAATTATTGCCGTAGAAAGTCTAGGCTCTGCTCCAATTCGGACAGCTTTACCGTCCGCTGACACCTGTATAATTAATTTACCTGTTTTTCGACACTGACCAGGAAGCACCTCGATTCATTTGCATAGAAAAAGTACGATGAACTTTTATTTCACGCTGTTCGACATTCCAGACATTTCTAATGCATTTCTACGATGCACGAAGTGGCTGTGTTCTTCTTTTGTTAGGTTTTTAATTTAGAATTAGACATTTTTGGTTCGATGAGAAAGGTGTTGAGAAGGTCCTCGAGGGATCCTTGAATCAGCGAACAATTGCAATTTTACAAACGATATTCGTTCTTCGATCGTGAGGTTTCTGGCTGAAACTACCGGTGTGACTCATTCGAGAATTTTCACCGTTGATTTACCGCCGCTAAAAGCGAACATTTGATTGTTAAAATACAGCGGTTCAACCTCGACGTTGTATTACAAATTCACGTTTCAGATTATACGTCTCGAGTGTAAATGTCGTGTTTGCTCGCAAATGCTTCCTTTTTTTACGCACTTTATCCACTTGCGATGAATCATTCCGATGGTCGTGGAAAAGTTAGATGATATAAATCAACTTGGTTCGTTGTTTGAACAAAAGGAAACGAACAGAAATTAAATCTGTTCCGCTGATCTTCAGATTGCAACACTGCGTGGAAATCCTTTTGCAGGGATGCTTCTACTCGAATTACGATGCAATTATCACCGATCAAGGGGGCCCTTGATTCGCTTGTTTTAATTATGTCGTCCGTTAATGGGCATCGTCCTCTCTATTCCGGTCGATTGTTCGGTCTTAATTAGAGTCGACTGATTAATTAAGCTCGTGCTGGGGAGAACGGCCACTTTAAATCTCGTTCCACCGAACACCGTGGTAAAAAGTCGCGATTATGTGCACACGAAGCGGTGTGCTGCATCGCGTGTCCATGCAGACGAGGTGATTAAAAGGCAAGATGGTTAACCCTTTTATCCGGATAGTCTATTTATGTATCGTAGACGGACAGTCGGAGTCTGTTGGAGTAGGTATATGAGTGTTTGCACGCGATTTTGGTAAATGGTATAGTTTGTTTTCGGGATCGATTTTTAAAAATATTCACAAATTTTGGAAATTCGTTTATTGAGTCATGTTCAGGATTAAATTGAATGCTATATGATATAATATGTGTATATATGTGAAACTTGGAGGTTTCTGGAAAAATAGCTTGTAGAGTCTGATGGACTCTTACCGATTAATATTATAAAATTATGCGAAACTTGGAGGTTTCTTGGACTCTTCCTGATTACTCGCGAGATAAAATTATGTGAAACCTGGAGATTTCTGGAGGCTTCTGGAAAAATAGCTTATCGAGTCTAATGGACTCTTACCGATTACTAGACTGCGGACTTTCATGCAAATTCATATTTCTGAGTATATAGTAAAAAAAGTAGAACTTGGGTAGAAAATTATTTCACCTAGCAGGTGTTATGAAAAGCACTATAATTTTGATATTTCGCATATATTTTCATATCACGTTTCATAAAAGTCCGCAGTCTACCGATCACTCGCGTAATAAAATTATGCGAAATCTGGAGGTTTCTGGAGATTTCTGGAAGAATAGCTCATAGAGTTTAATAAAAGTTGATACGGTAGAAGAATTCGCAGAAGAAATTTTGGATTTCTCCAGCAGTGTTCGAAATACTTCTAAAAAAACAAGTCGTGTGAGTCCATCGGTCTCACCGAATAAGGGTTAAAGGGACCGTTCCTCCGTGTGAGACCTTGAAATAAACGCGTTAGAACACCAGGCAATCTTGTACGTTTCGCGTATTCCTCTCTGTAGAAAAAAGTCTAAGAATTTTCCTAAGAATTTCAAAATAACTCCATCACTTTCTTAGATATACAACAGATACTTTGTTATCGTATTCATAAAGCTATAAGTAATTCCACGAGTTAATTAGGCACAGGCGTGTAAATACGTAGGTTTCAAAGCGAATGAAAAATGAACCGCGCAAAAAGTGAAAATGAAAGTACAAATATGGTAAAGACCTCCTCCGTTGCTCTTATCAAGCCGCCAATGTTGGACGATTAACAGTCCAGTCACGTAGATATCCATATTGTTCCTACGAAAAGTGACCACAAGGTCGATGAAGGCGATACATTCGAATGACAATGCATCGCGAATATTAAAAGTGTCTGCGGTTAACAGACACTTCCCCACGTTCTCTTAAATTCGACTCGAACTTCCTCCATCATGTTCTTACACATACACCAGCCAAAAGTTTCTGATCACTGTGCGTTGCAAGTTACAGAAAAATTTCCAGAAGAAAGCTGGCAACTTTAAGAATCTTTCGTCGTTCAATCTGATCGAGATAAATTTCTACCGATCTCCGCAACGTCAATTCTAAATCTATAAAGAATTAGTAGTGCATTGCAAGTTACAGAAAAATTTCCAGAAGAAAATTAACTTTAAACATTTTTTAACGAATTTTTTATCATTCAATTCAACCGAGATAAATTGCTGTTAATCTCCGCAAGATCAATTCCAAATCTATAAAGAATTAGCGGCGCGTTCAATGTTAGCGTAAATTGCCAGACGATCCGAAACTTTTGGTCGATAGTGTATGTGGAGAATCGCAAACAGGCGAATAAAGATGGGTTCTTTTGGACGTGTGAATTTCAGGTTCCCATGAACGATATGGACTTCAACATCCTGTGGATGGGGAATCACCCGAAACCAGACATTCTCCGGAACCTAATGCCCCACCAGAAAGTGAACCATTTTCCAAGGTACATAAAGCCTGATATGTGAAAATAAACAGAAATCTCCGTGGAAATCGTGCGATTCTGGATTTCGCACGAAGGGATAAATCAAACATTGTAATAATAAAAGGCGCGTGTATTTGCACACCGCCCGAAATAATAGCAGCATCGTCGATTCTGAGGAGGACTTCGATGTTAATAATAAATCGGTACAGCTAAAAATACTTGTCAATTATTCTTCCACAGATCTTCCCAGAAATGATTGTATACCTACGTGTAACTTATTCAACTGGTAATTCGTTTCATTCACCGTGTATTAAGTGACGATTTTTCTTCTTTTTTTTTTCTCTCATAGATCGTACGAGATCACGCGCAAGGATCGACTGTACAAAAACATCGAGGCGATGCAACGGAGCAAAGGGTTACGGAACCTGGACTTCATACCGCAAACGTTTCTATTGCCTAGCGAGTCGAGGGAATTGCTCACAGCGCATTTCAGGTATCGCGGACCGTGGATTGTCAAACCGAAAGCCAGTTCCCGCGGACGTGGAATTTATATTGTTAACAGTGTGAGCATAATAATTTACAGATACGAGTTTACCTTAACACGTTCGCTTTGCCATTTGAAAATCGTAAGGAACATGCTGTGCGCTTCTGTGTCGACGATGCTTCGACGGTAGCAACGAACGTGTTAACGTGGCCGGCACAGCATGCTTGCTCCTTTCCTTTTTTTTCTATGCACCGTCGATAAAAGTAGTTTACAATCTATTTTACTTGAGAATGTAGTAATCTCTAACTGTGCACATGTTTGCAGCCTGAAAAGATCCTTACGGACGAGTCTGTGATCGTTGCACAATACATAAACAATCCGCTTCTGGTGGACGGGCACAAGTGTGACTTACGGTTATACGTCGCCGTTACGAATTACGATCCTCTGTTGATCTACCTGTACGAAGAGGGCTTAGTGAGATTTGCCACGGTGAAGTATGATGGTGGTAATCAGTATATCTGGAACCCTTGCATGCATCTATGCAATTATAGCATAAACAAATTCCACGTGGATTATGTGAAGTAAGCAGAATCGTGTTCTCACTTTTGTGAATGTATAGTAACAACTGTTGGAGGTGGGATTGCTTTGTTATCCGGAATTCTTTTGCAGGAGCGAGGATCCAGACGCGGAGGACGTGGGTCACAAATGGACCTTGTCGGCCTTACTTAGACATTTGCGCTCTATGGGACAAGACACGGAGTTACTTATGCAGCGTATAGAAGATATTATAATAAAATCGATTCTCGCGACCGCTTCTGGAATTGTTAGCGGTATCAAACAGTTCGTGAAACATCCCGAAACGTGTTTCGGTAATTCTTTTGCTCGATAAGAAATATTGCTTTGTTAAAAATTATCTGTAAAACTACGTATCTATCTCGTCTTGTTTTAGAATTATTCGGATTCGATATTTTAATCGACGACACGTTAAAGCCATGGCTGCTGGAAGTCAATTTAACGCCATCGTTAGGCTGTGATTCGCCGCTCGATGTTAGATTAAAATCAGCCTTGATAGCAGACTTGTTAACCCTAGTCGGTATACCTGCGGTTGATCCGATGTTACGGCCTCAAAGTACGCATCTGAATCGTTCTACGGTGACTTCCACTAAAAGAATAGTTAGTGTAAGTTATTCACTAGGAGTTCTTCCCTATCGAACAATCAGACGTGGTTGCAGAAGGTAGAATTTCATTGTTTCTAGTGTAGAAGAGTACACTCGGCGGAAACGTTGTCGCAAAGGAAAAAAAACGTGAATAAAAGCAATATTAATAAGTCAGGATTAACATCTGAGCAACAACGAATAGTGGCGTCCGCGAAAGCGCAATTCGAACGACGAGGAGGATTCGTTCGCATATTCCCTAGTCCAAAATCGTGGGAAATGTATTCGCAATATTTAGGTAGATGTTTGTAAAATATTTCTCTACCGTTACATTTTACCATGTGTATATACATAGATTAATTAATATTATATTAAGCATTATTCTGTACTTGCAGATCCAACAACGGGAATACCAATAGTTTCAGACCCTCTAGGACCAGGCAGAGTTCCCCACCAAATAAATACAAATTATAATTTAATGTTACACGAGCAATTATTTCCTGCGGCTAGTCGTACGACCGATTTTATCATTCCTGAGGTTACCCTGGACAGATTGTCCAGGTACTTTTGTGAAAATAATAAAAGATTCGTAACTCATCCCTCAATAATAGTATACAATTAGCATAACTCATTACAGATATGAAAGGTATGAGAGAGCTTTGGTGAAAGGGCACAAACAAAGCTTAGAACGTGGTCACAGTAAAGAGAATACGGATACGGATAAGCATAAATATAAGAGCCAAGTGGTGCAATCTATGCACGAAGGAAATAAACTTAGGTTGGTTACGTGATTATAGATGGGATACATTCTACGTCGGTATTACCGAATTCGAAGAGACACTGTGTATTATATAATTAAATTTTTCAGTCCTGGAGAAGCTAGAAAGGCCTTCGGTTTATATTTAGGACACATATTGCGTAAGATATCACAGCCTAACGACGATCCAGCAAGCTGCGATCTTGTGATGAAATTTCTTCAACAGTCAGCTAGTAATTTAAGGACGCCATTCTTTTTTACGGTATGTTACGCAAGTAGCTTTTCAAATTTTTACGATTCTTTTAATTTCATTTTATTTATTTATTTTTTGATACACAGTTACCAAGTAGTAAATTGAGTGATAAAGACCGTGCCGCTATAACGGCCAAACAACTCTCGGACTTTTTACACATGTACAATCGAGAAACAGATCTTTACGCGGACACGGTCGATCGTCCACGTACCGTTCCCAATCGACTATTTCAAAAATTTCTAGCCGCGGCAAGGTAAGCTTCTTCAACTTTCACACTTCCCTATCTTGTGTATACAATAATGTCTAATGTACTATTTAATGATTGAATAGCGAACAAGATCTCGATGATATATTAATTCTACAAACGAGGCTATACAAGTGCGCTCATAGTTTTTTGGGAAGAAGCGGTTTCGCAGGTAGCCTACCAGGACCTAATTTATTAGGCTCGTTACCCCACATCACGTCTCGCGTGTACTCGAACGCCGCAACCAGCGAACAATGCAAATGTAACCAATCGTCAATCACTAGGCCTACGAAAACTGCGCGTACCTAGTTGTATAATGTGTGAATAATTTGTTATAGATACTTTGATTGCTCGTTAAAAGTACTGTGTACTGCTGCTCTAGGACTTCCCAGTACAAGTGGACAATCATCCACGTATATATAAATATATGATAATCTTAACGTTTCCCATATAAATATAGCACAGAAAACCGTCACAAAATTAATATTTTGGGTACGCTTGAAAAGTGCTTTAATATTTGCTTAATTAATTGTAAGGTAGAAAAGACAGAAAAAAAGTTCGTTATACGATACTTCCAACGAATAATATTTCGAGCCTTCGTAAAAAAGTTTTCTTAGTCTCTCCAGTCGAATTCATATTCTTACATTACGGTTTTATCTTAAAAAAGATACTAGTCTTCAGAATAAAAAAGTTCTCGTCGAAGCTAGATAAGGAATTATCTTAAACAATGAAAAAGGATACATGGGTTTTAGGTTTCACGAGTTTTATCATATAAAACAGGTGGCCATTTAAGATTGAACCGTTTTAAGGTAAAAGCAGATATCTTACAATTAAAGGGATAAATGATTAAGATATTTTAACGAGAGACACGTTATCGGCCTATGTAGTAACAGGCGATTAATCTTTACTTCTTTAAACGAAATCATGTCAACATTACTGATCATACAAAATTTCTTATTCAGTTTATCATACATTTTTATTACATATCAATAATGCGGAAATGTAATTATATTCAGATTAATTCGTCGATTAATTTCAGCTAGTTGCAACATAAGTTTCGTTACCATATATTTAAGAAATACCTTAGCAATTAATTACCATTCTCGACAGCTCTATTACACACGTTCCTATATTTAACGTATATTTTTGTTCATTTGAAACAGACATTATTGTATGTTTAAATTTACGACAAATGCCTTTTCAAGTCTAGTCAAATTAAAGGCACGGACGTAGAAAATTAGCACTTTAATATTTTTAACGTTTGACTACAATTCTTTGTTGTTCATTGTAGTTTTATTTTAACCATCAGTTCGTCTGACAGTTTCTATTCGTCCACAAAACGATCTAGGAATATAGACATAAGGTATAGTAGTTAAAAAAGTTAACATACAAACACTCAACGAATTGAATTTTTGCGAGCACGTAGTTTATAAATATAAAAAAAAAAATGTCGAATTAAGGATCTTTGCGAAATCAATTTTTTCGAAGTGCAATAAGGTACGAACCATTTAAGTGAATTCGAACTAAATTATTGTAGGATACAAAATGTACTTATATAGTAATAACGGTACACCTGCTCGTACAATGATTTGAGTGGTGACACGATAATACACCTGATGACGATTAAGTTACGTGCGTTGAGTTTGAAAGGGGCATACGTATATCATGATGGATTTCACGATGCGTGGCTGTTAAATAGAAAAAGATGGGAAATGTTTGTCAATATGGTTGGCAGGTACCAATCCATTTAGATTAAAATCGTATAGGTCTTATCCATCCATGTAATGCCGTCAGTATTTAATACAAGGATTTGCAGCTTATTCTTCCAACAAATGTAATGTCATTCGCATTTTACAAGCTTTATAACATTGCACGCGACGAAAAATAGCGGGAAGGTGAGAGGAGAGAAAGAGAAACATTGTATTTTTCCATTTGCGTTACTATTAAATCGAAATGCGAGTCATTGGTGAACACGAATTCAACTGATTTGCTGTGATACAAACGCATACGCCTCGACACGGGTATAAGTTGAACGCAGTATCTTATAAACGCAATGGCATTCAATATATTACATGTTATCGCAGTGAGTTGATCTCACACGAGACGAAAGTCTCCACATTATCCCTTGCTAAGCACAAAGGAAGCTATACTATAATCATTAAGCCACGAAAAAATATTGTTATTGCATAATTGTATTTACTGTATGACACGTTGTAGTCAGTTTAGCGATGCGTTATCAGTATCTGTTTTGAAATGTGACACATTTACTTTAAAAAAAGAGAAAAGGAAAGTGTACAACGGGTAGACGTAAAAAGACGGCTTACTTTTGATCATGTTCACTTTTAGTACACGTCTTGTTTATAGATTCGTCAAATATTAAGTCATATAGGTATCTATCGTAATTCGAAAAAATTAATATATTTGTATAAATCGAAGATATTATTTTTAGTTCATAATATGTTATTTTGTAGATGGACGTCTCACGCGTTACGTTTCATTGCTCGAATTCATGTCTGCATCATAATTACTCGAGACTCTTTTTTTTTTGTTCTATTAAAAAACACACAAGCACATCGGTTCCATGTCAACCATGCGTCCATTCTAAACGTATGAGATGCTTGATGTCTTAAATTAAGATTATTACACACGAAGTGGTACGTACTGCCATTATTTTGTAAACATATCCTTTCTTTACGATTGTAATGTATTTTTTACAACGTAGGCAGTTTTTATTTAAATAGACACATTTTATGTATTCGAAACGTAATTCGTGTAGAGTAAAGATGCACAACAGTTCACTTACCTTTTAAGATTATTATACTAATTGATATTATTTCAGCAGAAAATAATTTTACAATGTTCGTAGTGGCGTTACAATTTTTTGACTTTATAAAATAGCTATAGCGATAAGTGAAAGATCTTTGGAGAGGAAACATTAATTTAAGTTAAGTTTACACAGATCGAAGGAAGGCACGAAAACTTATGAGACTTTTTTAATGTATTGCAAACATAAAAATTAACGTATTGCTATTGTACTTATATGTTCAAGATTTGTTAAGCCAACTGCTTTCTGTATTCGTGTTTTTTGTGATGCGAGCTATTTGTGTTGTAATACGGTACATGGTCGAAAAAGTGCTGGAAAAGATACAGATATCGATTTGTGCATAAGATGTCCAAGTGAAATTTTTTCCTGTATATTAATCATTCAAAAAAATTTGCTTTCGAATCTTATGCAGTAAGTTTGTTGAAAAAATTTCGAACGTGACTGCTTGTAAATCTTCAATTACAGAAGGAGCATTGAATCGAAGCAATAGCAAAAATCGTCGGGGGCAGTGAGAATTAGCAGATGTATATAAAAAAAAATTGTTATTTACATACCTCTGTGTTGTGTATGCAACACTCCCTTCCTACCTGTGATTTGTAAAATTTACTAGTCAGCTTACTGCATTTACTATGAATAAAATATTGTAAGAAATAATTGCTATGTACAACTATTTTATTATAATCATCGAAATAGTAAAGTTACAACCGTTGCTCGGGAATACAACAGCATCGAAACGTTGGACGAAGTATTGAATAAAAAAAATAGGGATTGCAGTTGAGCAAGTTTATCATTATTAAAGTCCGTCGTTTAATCGATTTGTTATATGACCGAGTACTATGCAGCCTTCTTAGCTCTTAAATATTTAAATGATACCGAGAGGTATCGATTGTATGTACTTACAAGCATACATATTTTCGCATTGTAAAATTCTCTTCAAATTCAAGTATTAGAAATAAAACATAATGAGACAGGACATGTATTTTATACCCTTAATTATGGTGCCTATTTTATAATGAAATATAACGTTTGTGCAAAAATTAAAATCTCAAAGCGCTCTTCTTAGTTCGATCATAACACCGCTAGTTGGTGTTCACAGCCGAGAATATTCTTCCATATTTTCCCTAGCTGTTAAAGAATAGTGACTACGTACTATGTCGGAACGTCACTTTCCGGTGGCCTTTTCGTGAAATTCTACCATTAGTGGCGCGTAACATTATACGTAACATTATAGAATACATATTCAATAGGATTAAGTAAATGAATCGTGTTTTCACTGTGCCCATAAAAATATTCTATTGCCTACGTTTTTTGGTTGTGCAACAGAATTAGTCGGCGCGAAAATGACACGTAAAGACCTGAAAATTTGTAAACATCTACGACGATGATCGCAAACAACAAAAATTCGACAGATTTTTCTATTTCCACGTAATTCTTGAAAAAATGCGGATGCCAATAATGATTTGAATCATTAAAGAGTAACGTATCGCATGATTCGACCAGTATAGTGTTTTATGGTGTTTTTAAGGAGATGAAACTCTGACGTGCTAAAATTTGATTTGGAGTTTCGATTTCGTTGACGTATGCGCATTTAAGTGTGCAAAGTACTCCGTTTATATTTTTATAAAAATCACCCGTAAAAGTTTTCTGTGATATTGTATACTTAGTAAGTATATGTACAAAAAAATTACTACACTAATACAATTATATTTTTAATTACATTTGCAATTATACTCACCATTGCAGGTACAATGGAATCTGAAAGTTCTGTTATTTTGGAATCATGTGAGGAAGATTCAATTTTAATTGCAACTGTGAAAGACATGGTTGATGAAAATACACATACTGAATTAGAAAGTGAAGAAGGTTTTTTTGTAGAAACAGATAATCAGAATGAGCAACAAAATGAGATAGAAGTTTCAAATGAAGAATCAACAGTAATACAATTGGAAAAAGTATTTTCTTGGTCCTCTTTATGTAGAGTATGTGCTAATACCAATGATCATATAATTCCAATATTTGAAGAAGAAGGTTTACAACATGATTTATGTAGCAAAATACATAAATATCTACCTATACATGTGTGTATTACACATTGTTTTATACAACTTAGATTTGCATGCATAAAATATTTATGAATTATCTTTATCCATAGATATCTGAAAATGATACACTTCCATTGCAACTATGTTATCATTGTGCTGCTACATTACTAGCATGGCATGAACTATTAGAAGGATGTTTGAATGCAGAAAGAATATTAATAGAAATGCAAGATGGTTTGCAAGAAAAACAGGTATATATGAAAGTAAAATACATGCATCATTCTTTAATTTCTCAAAAAAAAAAAAAACATATTTTCAAATCGTATACATTTATTTGTGCCTGTAGAATCAACAACAAGAAACTGAAAAGGGTCAAGTTCTTGTGGAATCAGCTGTTAATGATTCAGACAGGTAATGACTTCTTTTATTTAAAAAAAAAAAAAAACAATTGATACATTGGAGCTATGTAACATGTGTAATTGAACGTGCAGAAAATATGCCCCCTTAAACTTGGTAGTTAACTTCTCCATTAGAATTTTTACGAAATTTAATTTTAATAACAGATACGGAATGGATAAACAAATTTTTAACACAAACGAAACAAATACTCTTAAAAAACACTTTATATATATTGACTATTTGGAGTATGGAACAAGCATTTGCATACAGTTCCATGAAAAGACTATTCCAAGCAATCTATACAAATGTACAAAGAAAATGAAAATATATGTGTGTGTGACTATGACATAACAGGAATTAGACGTTAAGGACTATCAAGAAAGATAATCTTAACTTTCTCAAGTGCCATTGATAATTGGATTGAGCAAGAACAATCTCCTACATCACATAGCTGCAAATCCGGAGTCAAGTATTGACTGTTTTGCAGGTCCAGTAATATGCGGACACCGTTTAAGGTGTTCCTTGACATGCAGAATGTATTTCGGAAGCCACATAGAAAAAAGTACCAACTACAAGAAAGAAAATCTACAGACAATGGAGATTGCGATTCGGTGTGGATCACCGTCATGAATTCGACGCTTGATCAACCTACTATAATGTCTGATCAACTGCAAAACAATGATATCGCTACAAAGGTAGAGGTCTCTCAGATGTATAAATCAGATAGTTTAGAAAAACTAAAACTAGATGAAGAGACGTATAAACCAATGGGCCCTTCGAATACGAGAAACGGGAATAAAAGAGCGAAAGGAAAATGTAACGTTTGTTCTGGTGATTCGAAAGATTCGAGAGATCCTTGTGAGCATATAAAGAGCAAAGTTACCATTGATGTTCAAGAATCTTATCAATGTGTTGAATGCGGAAAATGTTTCAAATTAAAAGATTCATATCTAAGACATATGAGGATACATACAGACGAAAGACCATTCACTTGTCATGTATGTGGAAAACAATTCCGAGATTCTGGTGGCCTATCTAGACACTTGAAAGATGTTCACGCGAAACTTAAAAATTTTACTTGCGATATATGTGGCAAATCATTCGCGTCGAAAGCTACAAGAGATGATCATCGCAGAACACATACGGGAGAAAGACCTTACGTGTGCGATTCATGTGGGAAGACGTTCAAATCAAAAGCTTCTTTGTACATCCATAGTAAATTACACACGGATGAGTTTCCGCATCCGTGCTCCTATTGTAACAAAAAGTTTCGTAGAAGACAAGAGATGCTAGCCCATGTGACTACTCATACAGGAGAGAAAAATTACGGTTGTGACGTGTGTTCGAAAAGATTTCGAGTGAAATCGGAACTCGTTAGACATAAATTAATTCACTCTGAGACTAAACCATTCGTTTGCGTGAAATGTGGTCTCGCTTTTCGACAGAAACGTTACTTGAACAATCACATTAAAAGCAGACATATTGAAACGTTGCGAGCATGCTAATGGGCAATTTTCACAACATTTTGCTCTACACAGATAGCTCTTCGATTATTACGAACAGACCGAAAACATTCAAATCTGGTACATTTATTATTTTTCCAGGTTCGGTCTACCTCGGAAGAAATCCTTCGCGGCATATTGCTCATGGCAACCGACATTCAGTAAAACGAACACTAAAGAAAGTATAAAAGAAAAAACCACCGATAATGACGATAGCATTAATTCATTTGACAATTGTAGTACAGGTTTTAATATGGTAGAGATGATGGGAGTCATGCTATCTCCTCACAACGAGAAACTTAATTCACCAAAGAGTCAATATTCTTGCAAAAATTGTCAGCAAATGTGTAAAACAGAATACCACTTGACACGGCATATATCTCAATGTAAAAATAAAATGAAAAATAATATCGAGAAGAAAAATAAACGCTCCAATGGTCGAAGCATATCAAACGTGAGAGAATTGAACAACAAAGAAGATAAAAATCTGATGGACCAAGGTCGTAAAAATTGGAAATTGTTCAAACGAAAAAGATACGAAACGTATCCATGTATGTATTGCGATTACACAGTCAAACAGAAGAAGCTGCTCGAGGTACATTTGATGGAGTTGCACCCGGAATTCACCGGGAAGAAAGATAAGAAATTAAAATGTGCTGATCGTGAAATGGTGATGCGCGCTAAAATGGAAATCGATGGAAAGGTTTATTATCATTGTAATGAATGTGGTAAAAACCTTTATTCACCGTATACGTTCTTTTGGCACGTACGAATACACACTGGAGAACGACCGTATACTTGTCATTTATGTGGCAAGCAATTTCGTGTTAACCAGGGTCTGGTTAGACATTTACGCGAAACGCATGCTGGCATTAAGAATTTTCCATGCGACATCTGCGATCGAATGTTCTCGACGAAACGTAGCGCAGAAGATCATAGACGTATACACACCGGTGAACGACCATACATTTGTAACGTTTGCGGAAAATCGTTCAAGCAAAAGGCTTCTCTGTTCGTACATAACCGTACACATTCGGACGTCTTTCCTTTTAAATGTAATTACTGCAATCAAAATTTTCGAACCAGACCACCGCTCATGGTACACATAACCAAACACACAGGTGAAAAGCCGCACACGTGCGACATATGCGGTCGATGTTTTCGTATAAAACACGAGCTGAAACGTCATCGTTTAATACATTTCGACGAGAAACCGTGGCAATGCACAGAATGCGATCTCTCATTTCGACAGAAGCGCTATTTAGTTAATCATAGAAAAATTAATCATAACACAGATTCGTTCGTGGCTGACGTGAAGTAATGGGGAAAACTCTCTTTTCAGGTGTAAATATCGAGTGACTGAAAATGATGAAAAACACGAATTAAGCGGTTCGCGAGGCAACGAGCATTCGGAAAAACGAAATTTACGATTACAAGTACTTTCAGAGAGTGATTTCAGTATTAACGGAGAGAAAAGGATAGAGTTGAAAGGGAATTTAAAAACTGTTTCTGAGAAATATAAACGAACATCGTCGAAACGAACTCTGGAGCAACGTAACGAATTAACTCGTGCAAAAGTAACAGCCAATGGATTTACGTACTATAAATGTAACGATTGTGGAAAAATACTCTCGACTTCGTACAATTTTCTCATTCATCGGAATACTCACACCGGAGAGAAACCGTACACGTGTCACGTTTGCGGAAAAAGCTTCTGTTCGGCGTCTGGCTTGAACAGACACGTGCGTGACGTTCACGCGGGAATAAAGAAATTCGCTTGTGATATATGTGGTCGATGCTTGGCCTCGAGAGTCTCGCGAGACGAACACAGGAGAACCCACACCGGGGAAAGACCTCACGTATGCGAGACTTGTGGGAAATCGTTCAAACAGAAGGCATCTCTGCACGTTCACAAATCGTTCCATTCTAAAATCTTCCCCCACATATGCTCCTTATGCGATCAGAGCTTTAAGAGAAAGCAAGAATTAGATAAGCATATTTTTATCCATACTAAGCAAAAACCTTACTCTTGCGATGTCTGTGGCAAACAGTTTCGTAGCAAAGGTTGTATTAGTCGTCATAAACGTGTTCATAATAATCAAAAGTCGTACATTTGTCCGGTATGCAATGCGAAATTCAGCCAAGAGCGTTACCTGAAGAGCCACAGCAAGAATTTGCATAAAGCTTTGCATTCGGTAGCATGATATCGGAATGTTTATTTTGCAGGTGGAAGATCGAGTCTGATGACGTTGTAATATCAACGGTTGAAAACGAAAATACAAACGCTGAAGAGGTAGAATACGTCCAGTGCTCTCAATGCGGTATTGTCTTCGAAGACATGAAATATTTCATAGATCATATGAATGTCGAGCATGAAGCTCAAATGCATTACTGCCAATATTGTAAGTTAGTTTATCATGGTAAAGAGAAAGAATTCGAGGAACACCTATCGATACATAACGATGAGTTAAAAGATGCCACAGAGAATGAAGTATTGAAATGCGTGAATAAAACGAGAAAAGGTGATAAACCGTCTACTGTAGGTGTTGAGAAATCATCTACTGTAGGTGTTAAAAAACCGTCTACTGTAGATGTTGCAAACCCTCTGTATTATACGTGCAACTTTTGCGAAAGAATTTTCACGAGGAAACCCGAATTGAAAAAACACATGCACACGCATTCCAATCGAATCCAAAATTCAGACGAATCCGAACTTGTAGATAAAGCGAAACAAATAATAGACGATCGTGTTTCTTACAAATGTGACATGTGTAAAAAGTTTATATTTACGAAGCGCGGATTCTTACGCCACATTCGTGTCCATTCTGACAAACGACCCTGTAAATGCGATTTATGTGGGAAATCTTATCGAATCGAACAAGATTTAGCCAGGCATATAAGGGACGTTCACGAAAGATTGAAGAAATACAATTGCGATATATGTGGTCGTGCGTTTGCGAATAAAGGATCAAAAGATGATCATCGAAGGATTCATACGGGTGAACGTCCGTACGCCTGTGAATACTGTCCGAAAATGTTTCGTACACTGAACTCCATTTATATTCATAATCGTGTACATACAGATTATAAACCTCATAAATGTTCGTATTGTGGAAAATACTTCAGAAGCAAGCAGAGGCTAACTCATCATGAAACTACGCACACAGGCATTAAAGCATTTGCCTGCGAAATTTGCGGTAAGACGTTTTCCGTCAAGGGAGAAGTCGGACGACATCGTGCGGTGCATAACGAAGAAAAACCTTTCAATTGTAAATGCGGTGTGAAATTTGGACAAAAGAGATACTTGAGAAACCATATAAGACAGCAGCATCAAGAAATGTCTTCTCGGTTATTGGCAGATTTATTGGGAAATAAGAATTGAAATGCGCAGGTCGTTGAAAATAACTTTGCCTTAAACAAATTTTGTACGAATTATTATATAGGGTGAAATGTACAGTTAGATGCGTATATTTTATTTGTTATATCGATTTTGTATTGTAAAGATCAATTAGGAAAATTGTACATCGAACATTAATTAAATTACTTGGAGCGATACATTAGATTAAACACCTATCCCTGTTGTATTTATGACAATCGATAGCAATTTTAAATTCTGAATATTAAAAAAATTTAAATGATACGAGGTGAACATAAATGCGAACATTATTATAATTTATTTACGAATTAACGAATGTTTTTATTGTTTTATGTATTACCACAAGTTTAATTATCACAGCATTATTAAAAATACTTACCTCAATGAATATGGAATGTCCAATTACTGTGATAAGATTTCAGATTTTGTTTAATGCATACATGTGTATTATACATAAAATACACAAATGTAGCAAATATAAGTTTTATAATCAAACAAATAAGTTTTGTAAAGATTATCTCAGGAAATATTTTCTTTATTTTTTTTTTTTTTTTTTTTTGTTCAC